CAGGTGGCAGACAGTGAGGCGAAGGCGGGGACTCTGCAGCTGACGGTCGAGCGGCTGAGGGGGGCCCTGTCCAAGGTGGAAGAGAGCGAGGGGGTCCTGCGGGACAAGGTGCAGGGCCTGATGGAGGCTCTGACCCAAAGCAGCGCCAGCCTCACCAGCACCCAGGACAAGAACCTGCACATGCAGAAGGCCCTGACTGCTTGTGAACATGACCGCCAAGTGCTCCAAGTATGGGGGTTCCAGGGTCTGGCTGCGGGCGGGCCCAGTGAGAGTTAGCCTACAAAGGCAGGCTTGGGGGCCCTGGTGGAGAGCTGACCCCTGGGACGGTCAATAAGAGCTGCCTTTGAGGGAGGGGTGGGCCCAGTAAGAGCATCAGCCAATGAGGGGAGGCTCTGGGGGGAGGTGGGATCAAGCCTACTAGGACAGGCTGCAGGACCCAGGGGCAGGCTAAGGGAAGAGCTGGGGTCTGAGGGCTTCCCCACCTTGTGTAGGTCAGTGGCTAGGCTGTGGGCCAGGCCTGCTGTCTGGCTTACTCTCCAGGTGAGAGGACTACCTGTTTAAGGGGCTGTGAACCTGGCCCGGAGGTCCCGAGTAGAGAGGAGCCCCTTGCCTCAGGGCTCCCAGGACAGCCTGGCACCATCAGCCCTTGTCCCGCAGGAACGGCTGGAGGCCACGCGGCAGGCGTTATCCGAGGCAAGGAAGCAGAGCAGCTCCCTGGCCGAGCAAGTGCAGACCGTGCGGGGCGAGCTAGCGGACCTGGAGCTGCAGCGGGCGGAGTCCGAGGGCCGGCTGCAACAGCTGCAGGAGGTGAGGGCCAGGGTGGCCCTTCCGTTCCCAGGACCGTGAGGCCCTCGGCGTCGGGACCTTCTCACCTATCTCCACCTTATCCCAAACCTAGGCCCAGCCTCCTGTGAGGAAGCATGGTTCACTCAGTCCATATCCCCATTATACAGATGGAGAAACTGAGGCCCAGAGAGAACTGTCTGGCCTCGGGTGACCATTCCCTGATGTGGGCCTCATAATAGTCTTACCTAGAAAGTGGGCCTGGCAGGCTGGCATCGTCATCTCCAAGCTTCCGATGCACACCCTGAGGCCCAGAGGGATTAGGGACTCGCTGGCTTCTGCTGCAGGCACTGCGGCAACGGCAAGAAGGTGAGGCTGCGGCCCTACACACGGTCCAGAAGCTGCAGGATGAGCGGCGGCTGCTGCAGGAGCGCCTGGGGAGCCTGCAGCGTGCCCTGGCTCAGCTGGAGGCTGAGAAGCGGGAGGCGGAGCGCTCAGCCCTGCAGCTGGAGAAGGACCGGGTGGCCCTCAAGAGGATGCTGGACAAGGTGGGCTGTGTCCCTAGGGCCCTCCCTTCACTTCCTTGGGTCCCAGCCCTGGTTGGTCCCAGCTGTGTGTCCCCAGGATGTGGGGGTTGCAAGTCCCCCCGGCCCTGCTACCTGTAACCCAACACCCCTTTCTGAGCTGCTCCCACTTCCTGGGACCTCCCTCCTTCCCCGGGCACCCTGACCCCCTCCCGCTCTCCCCACCTAGGTGGAATGGGAGAAGCTTCGCAGTCACGAGGACACGGTGCGGCTGAGCGCAGAGAAGGGCCTCCTGGACCACACGCTCACAGAGGCCGAGTTGGAGCTGGCCGAGGCCCGGGGGCAGATCCAGCTGCTGGAGGTCTAGCCCCTGCCCACCCAGCCCTGGACACGCTTTCTCTCCCCAGCCCTGGACCCAACTCCACCCCCACAGTCCACAAGCCCAGAGCCTTGGAGGGGGTGCCCAGAGCCAGGTCCCAGAGGGAGGGGTCCTCCCCAGAGTGGAGAGGAAAGAGACCTGTCAGCACACGCGCCTGTGTGCTCACGTTGGTTGTGGACGTGAAGAGCTATGAGTGTATGTGAGGGTATTCTTGCGCATGTAGCACGAATCTTGTGCATGGATGTGGCATATCTAAGTATTAGGGGTATATCTGTATCTTCGTGTACAGGTCTCTTCTTGTATGTAGATGTATGTAAGAGTATTGGGCTTCTGCACATATGCATGCATCCGTGTGAACACAGGTTTTTACATGCTTGCTTTTATCTGTCTTATCTATCTATATCTGTATACACATATGGGCTTGTCTCTGTGTTTGAATATGTCTGTGTGTGTGTTTGTGTGCCTGAATGGGGGTCACTAACTACCCTGACCCAGGATTTGCAGGCCAGGAGGGCTGGGGGGTGGGAGAAAAACAAGGGTCTCTCCTACATCCCCTGCTTTGCCCCAAGGGGCCCTCAGGCTCCCACCCCAGGGAGGTGCCTGACACCCTTCGGCCAGAGGCCTGACCCGTGGGCCCTCATGCAGGCCCAGGTGGCAGCACTGCAGCAGAACCACAGCCCAGCGCGGCTGGAGGTGGATGAGCAGCGGCTGGAGCTGCAGCAGGAAGTGGATCGCCTGCGCAGTGCCCAGGTGCAGACGGAGCGCACTCTGGAGGCGCGGGAGCGGGCCCACCGGCAGCGGGTGCGTGGCCTGGAGGAGCAGGTACTCAGGCCTGGTGGGCTCTGGCCCTTCCCCAGGGGGCGGCAGCATCGGCAGGACTCCCCCTTCAGGAGGCTGGGCCAGGATGGAAGTGTGGAGCTGGGGGAAGGGGACGGAGGAAGAGGAGGGGGCAAGGGAGAGGAAGAAGTGGGGGCAGGGAGAGGGCTGGCAGTAACCTCTTGGGTATAAGTGGTCAATGGCACCCATAACTGAAACGGTCCGGGTGGATCTGTGCTGCTATGAGCCACGGCTGGACACAGGGGCTCAAGTGATGTCATCGGAACTCAGTCCCCTTGCCACAGCACCATGCCCGGGCAGGCTGTCTCCCCGGGTGGCACAGGTGGCCTCAGCAGCTCCAGCCTGGGGTTATCCTAACAACCATGATCCCAGCGGAGAGGGGGGCCCTTTTCCCTGAGGTCAGCAGCACAGGTCCCAAGGATGAGCCTCACTGGCCAGCTGAGACCGCAGGCCCCCTCGTGACCATCTCTGCCTGATCATGTCTGCAGGGCAAGGCTGCTTTGGTGGGCCAGGCCTGGGTCACAGGTCCACCCCTGGAGTCCAGCTAGCTCCAGGCCTGGCCTAGTGGTGAGAGTGGGGATGGGTGGCCCCAAAGAGAGGCCAAGCAGTCTGGAGACACCCGCTGCTCCATGGAGCAGAATGAGAAGGGGAGGAGATACCCTGGCTCTTAATGACACCTGGTTTTTCTGAAACAGGCAGCACTGGGTCCCTTCTGGTGTCCTTCCATCAGTCACACCCCACCCCCGCCGCCCCGCTTTTTCTGAAACCAGGCTGGGGTCCTGGGCTGGCCCTACCGCCTTTCTTCTCCAGGTATCCACACTGAAGGGACAGTTGCAGCAGGAGCTTCGAAGGGGCTCAGCTTCTTTCTCCCCCTCCTCCGGCCCCCCAGAGAAGTGAGCACCTTGCCGGCGGGCACCCTGGAGAGCAGCCCCGTGGCCGGGGCGGGACAGGGGAGGGGGGACTCCGGCACCAGGCCAGACCCAGCAGCGCCCTCCCAGCCTCGTCAGAGCCGACCACCCTCTGTGGGCTCCCCACTCAGTCCAGCCCCCTCTCCCCCAGGATGAGCCCGTGTGAGGTCCCCCAGGACCAGTTTGAGGTCCTCCCTGAGTGTCTGAGCCAAAGCCAGGGGTTGGAGAGACCTCCCCCCTACCTTGTCTCTGGCCAACCCTGGAGCACAGGTTCACGGGAAAGAGAAGGGATGTCCAGGCCTGGGGCAGGGGACCTTCTCTGGCTTCCCAGAGATCTCTTTGCCTTAGTTCAGAGTATTTGTCAGGAAATTCCTCAGAGTTCAGAGTCCCTGTATTTTTGTACCTTTTTACAATGTTAACTGTTCAGAACTGTTGTGTTTTTTGTAACAAGACGACCCCATTTAAAAAAAGACGGTTTGTACAGATGTGTCCCTTTACTATTAATGTGCCTTCTCCACCTGGGAGACAGGAGGGGGGACAGGCGGGCCCTGGGGCCAGAGGGATGGGGTCCCCTAGTGGGTGCTCAGGGAGATGGGGGCAGCTTTTGAAAGGCCTGTGACGAAAGGTAAGGAACTTACCAACCTCACAGGATGTCGGGATGGGGAGGCCTCCAGGGTCCTGGGCCACCCACCCCATTTAACAGATGGAGCTGTTGAGGTTTGGGATGGGACCCAACCTGTGCCGCTCGACTCTTTGCAGCTGAAGCTTTCTGCCCTTTTCTCTGGCTCCTCCTCTGGACAGGGCCCACCCTCTGGACAGTAACAGGCATTCCAGGCGGTGTGGTAAACAAGTGCAGGCCTGGGAGTGGACGTGGGGTGTGGGGTCTTGCCTTGGCTCCGCTGGGTGATCCTGGGCAAAGCCGCTTAACCTATCAGAGCCTCAGTTTGCTCCTCTGTAAAATGGGAACGTGCCTCCCAGGGTGGTTATGAGGAAGTACACACAGAAGATGCTCAGTGAGTGTTTCCAAGGAGAAATTCCATTCATCTCATGGAGTCCAGTGGAGTCAGGTTCCACCCCAGCCCTGCCACTTACCACTGTGGACCCTTGGGTGGCTTACGTAATCTAGGCTTAGTTTCCCTGTCTGTAAGATGGGAATATTAACTGTACCCACCACATAGACCTGGTTGGAGGGTTAAATAGGCCTGTGTGCTGAGCCTTCAGACAGAGCCTGGTCTCCTATGCTGGTCAGAGGGAGGTGTTGTAACAGCTTGCCCTGTTTCTGCCCTCTGAACTGCACCAGCCTTCCCTCCTGCCAAAGCCCTTGATATCAGAGTCCACCAACCTTGACCTCCTGCCTTCCACCCTATACGCTTCCACATGGGCGGCCTCTCATCTTGCCTTGCACCCTTCTCGTGATGGGGCACTCACAGACTCACCAGGCAGCCCTGACAATGAGGAAGCTATATTCCTGAACCTTCTATCTCTGATACAATCCCCTGCAACACACACACACGCGCACACGCACACACACACACCCTGGGGGCGGGGGGCAGTTGTCATGGCCCATCTTTCTGGGCAGGTCAGAGCTGAAGCGGGTGGATGAGGAGGCATGGCCACAGGTCACCTGAACCTACCCTTCTCCCGAAGGGGCCTGGCAGCCTCTCCGTGAGGACATGCAGTGTTGAGGCACCTGGCCATCTCCTCTGTGCCCTCGACCGAAAAAGTGACTCTGAATCTTTTGTAAAAACCTGTTTTTAATTTTGTATAAAACAAAGGTGGTCTATGCCCAGGGGCTGTAGGAAATCCAAGCAGACCAGCTGGGGTGAGGGTCATAGCCTACCCTGGGGGTGGGGCTGGAGTGGGGGACTGTCCTCAGAGGGATGGAGAAGGCACATCAGGGGCCCAGGTCCCACAGAGAGGCCTGGGATGTCCCCCACCTGGGGGCGGAGACTGGACACTGGGGAGCCCCCTTTGTGCCCCAAGGGTGGCCGCAGGCTGGGGGAAGGGCCTGAGGCAACCCCCGGCGCTGCAGCCACTAACATTTTACGGGATAAGAGGAACGTCTGGCTGGGGAGAAAAGCACCAGGTCAGGCAGAGCCTGAGGGCCCCAGATCCGAGGAGGGTCCAGGGCTCGGGGTGCCAGTTCCACCCTAGCAGCCCCCGCAGCTCCTGGCACAGGAGGCTGCCACAGATTGGCACAGGCCGCTGCTGGCCATCACGCCACATTTGGAGAACTTGTCACGACACAGGTCAGCTGTTGGGGGTGGCAGGAAGGAGTGGGGGTCAGGGTGCGGCTAGGTGATGGAAACTGCTACCCCCGCCCCAACCGTGGTGATGGGGGATGTTCTGAGGATAAAAAGCAGCCGGGAGGGGAGCTCAGGATTCCCCGGAAGTGGCCCTGGATTGAACACATGTTTAATAAACATCAGATGGGTGGACGCGTGGATGGATGACGAGTGGGCATGGGGGCAGGGGAAAGAGGAGGGCGGAGGCCTTCCTACCTCGCAGGAGCTCCTCGTGGGCACAGACCGTGCGGACACAGATTTCCTTGTTGATGACATACACACGGCGGAGGCTGAGAGGGACAGAGGGACGGGGGCCAGGAGAAACGTCAGCCCCATCCTCACCCTGCCCCACGGGAGAGCCGGAGACCCAGCCCCTAGGCCTGGGCGTAACCAGAGTTGAGCTCAACCTTGGGATTCACTAGCTTTCCCCACTCCCACGTTGTGGGCTGGAGCTGTGGTCCCCCTCGCTCCCCTGCCACCCCTGTCCCCCCAGTCCCTTCCTGCGCTCACCTGTAGAAGCAGACCTCGTTGAGACACTGTTTGCAAGGCTTGTGTATGGAGTAGAGGCGGGTACACGGGTACTGCTCCTCGCGGCAGTCTGAGTGACAGGTGGGATCACACTTGGGGGGCTGCAGCTGGGGGCTTAGAGCTGGGTGGCAGCCCCCAACCACACCCATGGGAGACTGGCTCTCAGGGCCTAGGTACCCCTGCACCCTCAGGCCCAGCCTAGACCTGCGTGCACACACCAACACACGCACACGCGAGCACTGTCGGACCTTGCGAGGCTGCCCAATTTTACCCAGTATATTTATACATATACAAATTCACAACCATGCTTGGAAGCATATATTCAAACACAAATCTATACCCGCACAGTCACAAAGGTCCACAGCAGCCTCACAGGAGGTCCGCACACTCACACGCTGAGCTGTGAGACGGGGTCCCTCACACACAGGCTGGCTCTTGGCCAGGGGAGGCCCGCTGAGCTGGCCTGGGCTTCCTGCCCCATCCTCACCTCTCCTGCCTCTGAGCACCACCCTGTCCTGCCGCCGGCGTGCTCCCACCCCGCCCCGCCCGAGTGTCTGGGAGTAGAGGCGCCTCCTGAGGCTGCAGCCAACTTGGCCTCCAGCTGGGCCCAGGGGCAGGGGGATCTCCCAGAGCTGCCTCGGGGGGGCCCTGGAGTTGCCAGCCCAAAGCAGGGGCACCTCTGTAAGCCCCTCATCCCACCATCTACCCCAGCGAGAGCAAAAGGCCTGGCTTTCTCTGTCCTCCCAGTGCCGCACGCCACTGCACCCTAACTTCCGGGGCCATGCCTCTGTCCCTCCAGTTGTCAGGAAGGTTCTTACCCAGAGGCCCAGGCTCCGTGGGCTCCGTCTCTACAGTTCCTGGTTCTGGTGTTGGGGGAGAGGCAGGCAGAGATCACTGGGACGGGTCTATTCAGGGCAGGGTGAGGTCACCTCTCCCAGCCCCGGACAGACCTCCCCACTCCCGGGGCTGGCTGGAGCTGGTGGCCTACCTAAGGTGGGAGCTGGGATGACTTCCTGTTGGACTTGCTGCTGGGACTGGAACTGAAACTGCTCCTCCGGGGGCCGAGGAGTCACCTCTGCAATGAGAGATGATGAAAGGGTCTGCTCCCCTACTCCCATCGCCCGCAGGTCTCTACGGACTCCCCACCCAGCTGCCTGCCCATCCTATCCTGCCCTCAGCCCTTTACCTTGATAATCATAGTAGTCCGGGTTGTCTGAAAATAAAGATGAATGTGGAATTGGTGGGGGTCAGGCTAGCCCCCAGCCCCAGGTCACAACTGAGCAAGGGACCATACCCCGAGATTCCCATCGCCCTACCACCCCACCTGATCCCTGGCTGAGCCATGCAGATCCAGGGAGCAGGGCTGGTGGGGAGGCCTGGGGGCGGACAAGGCGCTTACCGATCTGGTCGCTATAGTGGGTGTACTGGACGTGGTCTGGGAACGGAGGCAGCGGATCCAGGTCGTACTGGCCCTGAGCCAGCAGGCCTGCTGTGGGGAGGCAAAGCTGAGGGGACGTCCAGCAGGGAAGGGCAGCAGAGGCCCCAAAGCACTTCTGGGGAGGGTAGGTAGAGGTCCCTAGGGCAGGCGTGTAAGACCCTAAGATCTCAACAGACTCTAGACCCATAGGAGGCAAACGCCTTCCTTGACCATAAAGGCCCTTATACTCCCTGGTCCTGTGTCGCCTCACGGGTCATGTCCTGCCCCTCTCCCCCATGCCGGCCGCTGCCTGCCCCAAGGCCTTTGCACTTGACTCTCCCTGGGCCTGTCATCCTGATTTGCTTCTCCTCCTTCAAGTCTCAACTGAAATTTCAGCTCTGCTAAGAGGCCCTCGCTGGCCCACCCACACTCTCCATCTCGTTCTCCTGTTTATTTCCATCATAGCACTCAACATAATCTGACACTTATCACATCTCCCTTCCCTAGACTGGCAGGCAACACCATGAGGGCGGGGTCTGTCTGCCTGGTTCATCACTGTGTTCCCAGGGCCTAGCCCAGTGCCTGGCCCAAAGAGGGAGCTCCACAAATATCTGTTAAATTAATGGATGTTAGACCTGGCAGGGCCTTTGGGGTCCGCATTGATAACTCCTCATTTTGACTAACAGGGACTTCTCCAAGGTCAAGATTGTATAGGTTAGTTGGGCCCCAAAGGGGTCTAGAACCCAGGCCTTCAGACTCCCTGCCTTAGGGGCCTCCATTCCTGCACCTCAGCTCCTGGGAGGGTCAGTAAGAAGAAAAATGTGGATCCTGGTGTCTGGGCCCACTCTCCAGAATCCTGCCAGTCTGCTGCTGTGGAGGGTTGAGGAGGGGCCCAGGAGGTGCCTCTAGTCTTTGGGAGGGGTTGCCAGCTGTCTGTGGCCCAAGAGGTGGACGGCCCTGGGAGCGATGGAGCTGAGTTCTGGCCATAGGACACGACAAAAGCTTACTGCCAGCTCCCTCCCCCTACAAACCCCACTCCCACCCACATAAAGGGAGCCCCACCCACCTAGGTGCCACTTACCAGGCAGGAACAGCAGGAAGAGGTAGGCAGCTCTCATGGTTACACAACAAGGCGGGCTGGACTGGTGTCAGGGGACAGCTGGAGGAAGAGGAGGGAGCAAGCTGTATCCCGGGCCACTACCCCAGGGCTGCAGAGCCCACTTCTGCTGCCCCGAATTCAGCCTGGAGAAGGAGGGATTTGGAACAGAAGCCAGGCAGGTGGAGGGTCATGGAGTCTGGGCCCAGGGGGAGGGGACTACTTTGGACGGACATCCTCTGTCCCTGATGGCCCACTGGGTGTTCAGGTCCCGAGGGACTCGGCCTCCAACCTGGCTCCAGAGCTGGTCTTGACAAACAGACCCTACCCTGCCCTGCTCACTAAATGGACATTTCTAATCCTCTATCAGCCCTGCCCCTGCTCTCCTTGCCACAACCCATGCCCACCCTCTGGTTCAGCACTTCCCCAGGTGTCTAATGCACTGATCCTGACCCCAGGCCCATCCTCGGGACTCCAACCCTGCCCAGCCAACATCGCAGCCCAGACTTAGCAGGAAACCACATGTGTGCCTGGGCCTCGGGGGCCCCTGGGACAGCCAGGCCTGGGCAGGGTTCCCACCCCTAGAAGATTCCTCTCCTGCCAGGCCTCCAGGCCTCCCAAGACCTGGCTGACTTCATCGCACACTCACGAGACCGAGACTGAGGTCTACTTGTCTGCGGCAGCAGGAAGCACTTAGGGTGGAGTCTGAAAAGCGCCTCTCCAGATCCTAGCGGGTAGCGCTGAAGGGGACCGTGATGTCCCCCAACCTGACATTGTATGACAAGTGTTATGTGTGTAGTTTTTTGGGGAGAGGGCCGTGGTCCTTAGCTTTCACTGGGCTCTTGAAGTTCAAGAGCTCCTGGTTGAGTCTAGCCTCCAGTCTTTGACCCCACAGTGGACTTGGCAGAATCTACAGGTCCTCTTGTCCAGTCCCAGCTCAGTGCGGGGCAGCCCCAAGGCTGTCAGCCTTCTGCTAGGAGGGCTGGGAGAGAGTCCCCGGGCTCACCCATCCGGAGGACCCCCGCCCTGCCACAACAAAAGGAGTTCTTCCGGACAGCTGAATGGAAACCTAACTTTGCCCCATCGTGCCTCGCCCAGGGAGTCGAGGGAGAGGGGGAGGGAAGGGGCAGAAACATGGGCATCTTTCCCTCCTTCTGTCCAGTCCCGCTGCCTGTCTCATACACTCAGCCTCTCACTCCCTCCTCAACCCTAGCTGCAGTCGATGGGGTGGGTGGGGATGAGGTGGGGTGGCGGGGGCGAGACCTGTGACTCAAGCTGCCCCCCAGGCCGGGACATCTGGCTCCCACATCCCCATTCTGAGCACCCTTGGCCTCCTCTTGGTGGGGGACTGAAAGGCCTGGAGCTCCCCACAAGGCCTCACTGCCCCCTACTTGCCCCCCAGGCTGGTGGCAGGCAGGCTAGCTGGAGCTGTCACCACTCAGGAGAAGGCCCCGAGCTGGGGAGGTTGGTTGGGGGGCAGGGGGTTCTGTCGGTCCCCAAAGCCCCTCCTAGGCCTCTCGGCCCCCTGCAAGGAGTCTTTCCTCCCCTCGGAGGTTGAGTACCCAGGCCCAGGCTTACTGGGGGAAGGAGGGCTGGGCTGTAAAGAAGAGAGTCCCTGTGGCAGAAGCGGGTCCCTCCAGGGGACCACACCTCCAAGCACATCTAGACGACAGACTGTTTGGGTGTCGGGAGGCCGGGACCTGCCTAGGAGGCCTGTTCCTGGCCCCTGGCCCCTTCCACGGCTGGGACGCCCCCTACCCTCTGTGCCTGGCGAGGAGGGGCACTAGCGGGGCCTCCTCCGGGCCCCCTGCCCCCACGCTCACTGACTCACTCTGCTGGAGGCTCTGTCTGCTCCAGAGGCCGGGCTGGGGTCCGGCTGGAGGAAACCAGATGTTGCAGCGCCGCACAGCTGGGAACAATCAACCATGGAAACTTGCTCGGGCGCGCTCCCTCGCGCTCTCTCGGTCTCTGATCTCTCTTTGTCTCTCCGCGTCTCTGTCCCCGCCGCTCCCGCCGGACACCCACACCCCAGCCGCCGCATTCCAACCTCCCAGGGAGAACAAAAGCCGCCCCATCCCCGACGCCCCCCAAATCGGGCTCCCCTCCCTTCCCAACTCGCGTCTTCCCCTCCAAACGACCCCAAACTTTCCAAGTGCCCTCTTAGCATCTGCTCAGACGGCCCCGGACTCAGGGATCCCGAAAGGAAAGCCGCCCCCAGGATCGGGGACCCGCAGAGACCCGCACCTTCAGTACCTGGGGGCCCTCCGACGTCGCGGCCCACGACCCAGTCCCCCCTTGCGCCCCCGGCCCGGTCAGGCCGCCAGGCCCGCGCCTACCTGGCCGGGTCACTCCGCGGCCCGCTCCGAGTCCGCCCGCCGGAGCCGCCCCTTTGCCCGCTCCGAACCCCCCTCCGGGCCCCCGACGGGGCCGGCGCCCGCCCTCCAGCCTGGATCCGCTGGGTCCTAACGCGAGCGCCGCCGCCGCCGCCGGGGCCGCCACGCCGCGACCTCGGGTCTTCAACCCTCTTCTGGGGGCAGCCCCGCGGGGAGGAGGCGCCCGCGGAGCCAGCCTCACGTCTGTTCAGCACTTTGCGCTGTGCAAAATGCTTTCTCCTCACGGCCTCATCACAACTGGAGCGCAAAGTGGTGAGATGGGTGAAGTGGGCGTGCTGCCCCCATTTTACAGAGGAGGCTCGGGAAGATGATTCGCCTCCCGCGGCTCAGCGAGAAAGAGCCTTGCCCTCCCTTTTGGCTTCTCCCAGCTTCCAGGACAGCCTTCCTGGCCTGGTTTTCCTTCTGCCTCTCTGGTTGTGCCTTCCGGGTCTCCCTAGCCAGCTCCTGGCCACAGCTGCCTTCCATAACCAGCATTTCTTTGAAACCACAGGCTACAGGCTACCGGGCCTGGCCACATGAATGTCCCCAAGGCACATCCAATTCAACAGGATCCAAGTCCAAATTCACAACATCCCGACCTTCCCCAGACCTGGCCCTTGAAGGTGTTCCCATGCAGGGAATGAGCCCACCGTCCTTCCCTCACCCGGCTAACTGTAACTCCCGTGTGCTCACCCCCTGCAGGCAATCCAGCTCCCACCACTAATTCTGACTCTGTAATACCTCCAATCTAGGCCTTCCCAAACGGGCCCTGCCCTCACCCACTCACCTCAGACAGGGTGGGGGGCAGGGAGGCTTCTACCTAAAGCCTTTCACTGGTTTCCCAAGGTACCCGGGAACAAGGCTAAACTCCCCCGGGGCCCCCAAAGGCCCTACCTTTCATCACAGTCTGGCTCTGCCTCCTCATTCCCTCTGCCTGGTCTCCCAAAAGCCTCAATGGCTTTCTGGCTGATTCTCAGTAAACCCCTCCCTTCCTCCACCTGCCACCAGGCCTTTGCTCAAGATGTTTCTTCCTTCTGCAACACTGGTGAGGTTTTCCTCCTTCAGATTATAGATCAAACCCTTCCTTCCTCAGAGGCGGCTTCCCTTTCTCCTTGTTAGAGCTCTTAAGCATCTTCTGCTTTACCGGTCACAGCTGTTGCCCTATGTCTGAGACCATGTGAATCCCGCCCCTCTCCCCGAAGAGCCTGTCAGCCACGTGAAGACAGGGACAAGGTCTGCTTCTGCTCATCCTCAGTTTTTGCTCACTAGGCACAGTGCCAGGCTCAGAGCAGCTGTTCAGTAAACATTTGTGGAATGAATAAATGATGTACAGTGGATTCTCCTGGGAGGCTGGCCGGGTGTGGGGTTGCAGGTCTCCTGCCCCTGGGGCAGTCCTGCCTGGTCACGGGAATCTAGGCCTGGGGCAGGGGGCTCAGGCTGGGAGGGGGATCAAGATGCCCCTTGATTCAGGCCCTCACCGTCAGGTCTCCTTAGGCTGCTTGTCCCTTAGACACTGAATCCTGTTAGGCAGGGACTGACCATGTCCCATGCATCGTTTGTTCCCCAGTGCTGGTCTGTCAAGTGAATGGATGAATGAATAACTATCAGCCACCCCGCCCCCCTCCCCGCTCCAGTGTCTATGGCAGAATAAGCAGGGATTTTTGTCACTTGGAGCACTATGGGCCCCGGGGGCCAGCCCGGCCCTCTCTGCCCTTCCTTAGCCCTTCGCTGCTGCCAGATGCAATCCCAGTAGTGTAGGAGAGGAAACCGCCTGGCAGAACCGCCTACGCTTGACAAAAAGGGGAAACTGAAGCCCCAAAGCTGCCACCTCTAGTGTCCTGGCTCCCAGATCCTCTGCTGCTTCTACCCACTCCTCTGGCTCGAAGGACCCAAGCACAGGGGGCAGCTATCCGGGGAGGGAGGAGCAGGTGTGGAGACGCTTCTCCCAGTGTTCTTGGAGGTTTGCTCCGTCCCCGCTCGCCTCTCACAACACGTTATAAGCTGCACCCAGGCAGAGGTCATGGTTTTTGTTCACCGCCGTAGCCCCTGTGCCTGGCACACGACTGCCCAACAAATGCACGAAGAATCAGCTAGGGGTAGAGGCGGGAATCAAACCCAGGCCTCGCCGTGTCCTCCAACCTCCCTTTGAACAGCATGTGCCCCCCTGAACCACTGTTGTCTGATGGCTCAGTGCCCAGTGCAGAGGGTCTGTGCATGCGCCTGGTGTCACAGGTTACCTCCTCACGCCCCCCATCCTTGCACTCAGTTTGATTCAACATTCGCTGAGCTCCTACGAGGGTGGGCTGGGGGTGGTGCCAGGGCTTCCAGTAATGAGGTTGGCGGGGGCTTTTCTTTCCTGTGGTCCCCTGCCCAGCACAGATGGACCAGATGACGGAGCCGCATCTCCAGAGCAGGGCTTGGCGAGGGTCCCACTGGTGGGATGAGGTCAGAAGCACCCACCCTTCCCCGGGGGATGGCGCACGTGGTTCTGGCTGCGAAACGTGGGCTCAGAGCCTGGATCGCATCTGAGGGAAGAACTGGACCGTAAACACATCCCAGGATGCGGGAGGTGGGGAAAGCAGGGAACTGCCCCAGTTAAACGCCTTGTAGGTGCTGGCAAGCTGACTAGGTGCTGACTCGATGGGCTTGAGTCAAGCCCATTCTCTCCTGCCCCTGCAGGAGGGTAGGATGGTTAAGAGTGTGGACTCCGGAGTCAAAGCAATCTGGTCCCAGCTCTGACTACCTGCGTGACCTCTCAGCCTCAGTTTCCATATCTCTAAAAGGGGGACGGGGAATACCCTGGCCGTCCAGTGGTTAAGACTCAGTGCTTTCACTGCCACCGGCCCAGGTTTGATCCCTGGTCGGGGAACTAAGGTCCTGCAAGCCATGCGGTGCGGCCAAAAATAAAAATAAAAAAGGCGGGGGCAGCACTCCACAGTTATAAGGATTAAATGATGATGCCTATAAAATGCTGAACGGAGCACCGGGCACGTGCTCAACCTGGAGATGTGACTGTCAGATGAGGAAACAGAGGCTCAGAGAGGGGAGTTGTCCAACATGATCTGAAAAATCAGCGGATGCCGGGA